CGAGCACAGGGATTCCCAGGACGGCAGGTCAGGAGGAAGAGTATGGGATGGAAATGGCAGGAAACCGGGCTCAGAAAAACTGGAGGGTTCCCGGGTTCATGCAGACCAAGGGATGGGGTTCAGCTCAGTGTGTGGGCAGGGGCCTGGATTCTGACGTGGAAGAAATGGTGGGGTGGTGCAGCAGCCCCGCGGGGACTCACGTTTGCTGATGATCCTGTTGAGGATTGTCCGCAGCTCCTTCACGCTGATCTCCATGTCCTGGGGAGAGAGAGGAGGTGGCACCTGCCCCAGGAAAGGGCTGCCCCTCACAGGCCCCTCCCAACCCACCATGCCCCAACCTACCTCCCCTGCCAGCTGCCTGAAGAGGGCCTTGAAGTTCTCATCAATCTCCTCTTCTGAGAGCACTTGCTGGACCGAGAAGAGGGGAAAGCAGGTAAGAGAGGCCCTGGCCCTGCCTGTGTGGAGGCGGCTGGAGGGAGGGCTGAGGCCGCATATCTGCTACAAGTCACTTCGCTTCTCTGAGCCTCACTTTTCTTTTCTTTTTGAGACGGAGTCTCACTCTGTCACCCAGGTCGGAGTGCAGTGGTGCGATCTCAGTTCACTGCAACCTCCGCCTCCCGGGTTCAAGCCATTCTCCCTGCCTCAGCCTCCTGAGTAGCTGGGATTACAGGTGCGCACCACCATGCCCGGCTAATTTTTGTATTTTTAGTAGAGACGGGGTTTTGCCATGTTGGCCAGACTGGTCTCGAACTCCCGACCTCAGGTGATCTGCCCACTTCAGCCTCCCAAAGTGCTAGGATTGCAGGTGTGAGCCACCGCACCCAGTTTGAGTCTCACTTTTCTAATCTGTGAAAAGGTAATCTTGTCCCTGCCCTTCCCAACTCCATGCCCAGGACTCGTGACCTAAATGAAGGGGGTGCTGTGCAGCTCAGGGAGTAAAAGGCAAGAGTTTGGGCCGGGTGCCATGGCTTATGCCTGTAATCCCAGCACTCTGGGAGGCCGAGGTGGGTGGATCACCTGAGGTGAAGAGTTCGAGACCTGCCTGGCCAATATGGTGAAACCTTGTCTCTACTAAAAATACAAAAATTAGCCGGGCGTGGCAGCGTGCGCCTGTAATCCCAGCTACTTGGGAGGCTGAGGTAGGAGAATTGCTTGAACCTGGGAGGCAGAGGTTGCAGTGAGCCGAGATCGCACCACTGCACTCCAGCCTGGGCGACAGAGCGAGACTCCGTCTCAATAAACAAACAAACGAACAAACAAATAAATAAAATAAATTGTAATATACTTCAGTATATTTAAATTGTATATTTAGAAGTATATTTAAATTGTAACTTTAGTGATCCACCCGCCTCGGCCTCCCAAAGTGCTGGGATTACAGGCTTGAGCCACCGCGCCCGGCCTAAATTGTATATTTAATAGTATATTTAAATCGTAATACATGGCCAGGCGTGGTGGCTCATGCCTGTAATTCCTGCACTTTGGGAGTCCAAAGCAGCTGGATCACCTAAGGTCAGGAGTTTGAGACCAGCATGGCCAATGTGGTGAAACCCCGTCTGTACTAAAAATGCAAAAATTAGGTGGCCGTGGTGGCAGGCACCTGTAATCGCAGCTACCTAGAAGGCTGAGGTAGGAGAACTGCTTGAACCTAGGAGACAGAGGTTGCAGTGAGCCGAGATGGCACCACTGCACTCCAGCCTGGGCAACAGAGCGAGACTCCGTCTCAATAAACAAACAAACGAACAAACAAATAAATAAAATAAATTGTAATATACTTCAGTATATTTAAATTGTATATTTAGAAGTATATTTAAATTGTAACTTTAAATAGGCGACTTGTATGGTATGTGAATTAACTATCAATAAAGATGTTTTTAAAAAATAGAAAGTAGGAACCCTGCAAAGTAAATAATGCTAAAGGGCTTCTGTAGACCCCTGAGTCCCTGAGTATAGAAGCAGATGATAAAGATCTACCTGAGGTAGAGAATCCAATAGGAGGTTCTTGCAATTAAACTGGAACCCCCTATCAGGAATGTCAGCAATTAAGTATGAAAGAAAATTAGGCTGGGGCGCAGTGGCTCACGCCTGTAATCCCAACACCGTGGGAGGCTGAGGAGGGTGGATCATTTGAGGTCAGGAGTTTGAGACCAGCCTGGCCAACATGGTAAAACCCAGTCTCTACTGAAAAAATACAGAAATTAGTCAGGCATGGTGGTGGGCACCTATAGTCCCACTCACTTGGGAGGATGAGGCAGGAGAATCGCTTGAACCCAGGAGGCAGAGGTTCAGTGAGCCAAGATCA